TTCCAGGTGGTGACACCACAAGGGATTCCCAGCAGGTAGGCAGATATGGGTGGTGAAGGGAATACCTCAGGAGGTGTGGGAAGGAAAACAACGGGATTTGAGCAAACTTGTTCATTTGTTCACCCACTACCCCACCATTTACTCTTCCAACATCCTCCATAAGCACCATCATCCATCCATCATTCCTCTCTCCAGTTTTTCAATCATCCATCAGTCCTTCCCTCCACTCTTTCCTTCAGTCAGCCAGCCATGTACCATCCGTCTCTCCATTCCTCCATCTGTGTTAGCTACTTTTCTATTGCTGGGATAAAACACCATTAATAGATAAAGTACCATGAGTAAAAGTAACCTACAGAAAAATTTATTTGGGTTTCTGATTCTGGAGGGGAAGTCCATAATGGCTGAGGAGACAGGATAGAAGGCAGCCAGAGCAGGAAGCCGAGAGATCTCATCTTCAGCTACAAAGAGGAAGCAGAAAGAGGGAACTGGAAGTGGGAGGAGACCATGAACACTCAAAGCCCACCTCAAGTGAGTAGCCTACTTCCTACAGCAAGACTCTACCTCCAAAAGATTCTGCAACATCACCAACAGAACCAGGAGTTCAAACACATGACATTGTGGGGGGACAGTTCTCAGGACCAGGAGTTCAAACACGTGACATTATGGGAGTCAGTTCTCATTCATTCAAACCACCACACCGTTCAACCATCCATCATCCATTCCGCCACCCATTTCTTCTTTATTCACCTTCTCGGCAGCTTGTTCATCCATTCGTTCAATTTGGTGGGTGTCTGCGATGTGCCAGGCACTGTCCCAGGCAGTGTGGACATCAGAGAATGAAAGAGCAATGTGATGTCATCCTCACTGAGTGGCCCAGTCCCTCCTGCCCAGGCCTCACTCACCTCATCTTAGGTATTGTTCTGCTGCTGTGACAAAGCAGCACTTTCTTGGGGTCTTGCTTTCGGCTTCCGAGTTAACCCATTTCCATCATGATGGGAGCACAGCAGCAGTCAGGTGGGCATGGCTCTGGGGAGAGGCCAAGAACTCACATCTTATCACAAGCTGCAGGCGGAGAGGGAAAGACTGAGTCTGATGTGGACCTTTGACAGCTTAAAGCCCACCCTCAGTGACTTACCTCATCCAACAAGGCAACAGCTACTCCAACGTGGTCACTTTCTAATCCTTTTCAAACAGTTTCACCAACTGGGGATCAAGCACTCAAACATATGAGCCTGTGGGGATCATTCTCATTCAAACCACCACAGCCTCCTCCCTTCATCTTTTCCTACCCCTAGCCCCACCATTCCCCTGAGATCAGCTCATGCACCCAGAAGCCTTCCTTGACATCCTTCTCAGCACTGGGTACCGTGGACTTTCCTGCGCAGCCCCAAGGTGGCCCTCGTCTGTGTCCTTAGTCAGTACTCTCAATGTTAGCTTTTTTTAATTAAAAAAAATACTTTCCTCATTGTACCTTCTCTCTGTGTGTACACACACATGCCATGGCACACATGTGTAGATCAGAGGATAACTTGGGGATTGAAGCATGATTAATAAAAACTCTGAGAGAGAAATTAGGGTTCAACCTGAAGATTCAAAAAGCAAAGCAGCCAGCCACTGACTCTTGCCTCGACCTCAGACTGAAATGGCGATCCTGACTCCCAGAATCTCAGAAGGAGACTGTGTCTGAGAGTTGTCTTGTCCCATTTTATAATCCTCTCTAGGGCTAGGATTAAAGGTGTGTACCACTGGGATTAAAGGTATGCAGCACCTGATTTCTATGGCAACTAGTGTGGCTACAGGGATTAAAGGTGTGTGTCACCATAATCTGATCTGTGAGATTGACCAGTGGGACTGTCTCACTCAGATCTTCAGGCAGTCTATTGAAATGCCACTCCAGGGGATGTCGGTTCTCTTCTTCCACAGCGTGAGTCCTAGGGATCAGACTCAGAACATCAAGTTTGGTGGCACACTCCTTCACCCACCCACTAAGCCATCTTGTCTTCCTGGAAAGAACCGATGAACTGTATTACCTCCTCTTCTACTGAATCAAGTAGGATGAAGATAGCCAGCTCATTCTGTTTCCTGGTTCCCATGCTTCACACCCAAGGTCCTCTAATATCCCAGATGCATATCAAATCAAGGTTCCAGATTCAGACCCAAAGTGGCTTTCAGATTAACTGGGCCACTTGCTGTCTGTGAGGTGAGTACTTGCTTTCTAGGGCCTCCATTTCCTCACCTGTCGGTGCCACTAAGGAATAAATGCACAAGCAGAACCGCTCGTTCTGACAGCACTAACCGTGAAAGCATACCTCGGGCCCTCGCCTGAGAGTTACTAGACAGCTGCTCTAGGACTGAGCTGCTACATCTGTCCTCACGGGGCAGGCAGGACTCAAGACACTTTAATCTTCAAAATAATGTTGTATTATCTGATTATTTAAATTATCATTATCAGGGCTGGACTGAAACCCCATTAGCAAAGTGCTGACTGTGCACACATGTAATGAGTTTGAACCCCAGACCCTTACATGAAAAGTCATGGGTGGTGGGACCCTCCTTTAATCTCAGCTCTGGGTGCTGGAAACACATGGATCCATGGGACTCACAGGCCAGCCAGTCTAGTCTACTTGGTGAGTCCTTGTCCCCCCAAAAAACAAAATAGATAGCACTCTGACACCTGCACATGTATGTGCATGCATTCACACACACACACACACGCACACAGGCAAGCATGTAAACCAATTATCATCATCTTGGGGGAGGGTTAGTGGCACAGGACAGTACTAGCACTCTGAACGCTGAGGCAAGAGGATTGCTAGTTCCTATCTAGTCTGGGTTCCATAGTAAACCTTGTGTCTAAGAAATATTTTTAATTTAAAAATCTTCATCATTTACAAAGAGGGAAACTAAGGCAGTTAGAAATAAAGCCACGCCAGGTTGTGTCGTGTGCTGAACTGGCGTTTGAACACACACGTTTTCCTGAGTTGCACAGACGGCTAGTTCTTTCTGCAGCTGACGCGGCATGCTGAAGCCGCCTCAGATTCACAGTGTTTCTCTGGAAATGTGTCATGCAAAGCTGGCAAGCCCATCTGTGTGCACATTTCTGAGTGTGTATGTCACTGTCTGCGTCTCCCCACATATGCATCTCATGAACCCTGGTCAGGCTGAGCTGCATGGCTGGGACTAACCGCTAAGGCCAGTCACACCTTTGGTGGGCAGACACCCCTGCATGCTCCCTCAGACTGAGGTGATGTTAAAAGCATAAGTGTGGGGCCCTGGATGGAGCCAGAAATCTTTCTGGAGGCTTCTGATGACTTCAAAATGCATGCATAGGTTACCATGGGGGAGAGCAATCTAGTTAAAAGGGTTACATTGAGCCCAAGGTTTCAGATATGCTAAGCAAACATTTTTCCACCGGGCTATAGTTCAAGCTCCTCACTGGGAGATTCTACTAAACAAGGGTTCTACTGTTGAGCAAGACCCCCAGTCCCTTACAGGATAGGATTCTAGGCAGATGCTCTAGCACTGAGCAATGCCCCTAGTTTCTCCCTGGGGGATTCTAGGCAGGGGTTCTACTGCTGAGCAACATCCCAGCCCTCTTTTCATTTTGACACAGGGTCTCACTAATCTACAGAGGCTGGCCTTGAACTCGCTATTTTCCCTCACCATCCAGAGTGACTGGGATGAGAGACCTCTGCCACCAGTTCTGGCAGCAATTGGTCTTCCCCTTGGAGGTTGTGGGGTTTTTGTTGTTGTTGTTGTTGTTGTTGTTGTTGTTGTTGTTGTTGTGTGTGTGTGTGTGTGTGTGTGTGTGTGTGTGTGTGCAACTGGTTGAAAGAAAAGGGAGGACGATAGCAATGGGTGAGTCAGGGACCTCCAAGCCAACCCTCTGGGCTGCTCTCTTGTAGATGAGGACCCCGTCGGAGGAACTGGATCTCTGTGGGCCTCCGCTGGTCTGTGAACCGGGAGTAACACGATTGCACTCATCCCTATGCCGGAGTGAAGATGCCACGAGAAGACGTCTTCAAAGCTCTTAACTCATTACCTTGGTGATGGCAAATGGCATTAGCTGGTATTCATATGGCAAAACCCAGTGCTTTCTGCCCATAGGCAGCTGTTAAGCACCTGCTTGCTGCCAGCGCTTAACGACATGGACCGGTTTCTGAAACTACGTCCCTAAGGAGTAATTTCATTGTATTTTGCTGGACAACAGGATTTGGGATGCTTCGAGTCTCAAGGGGTCTATGGCAGGACTCCAATCTAGTGCCTGTGGTTCTACCTCAAACCTGAGACCTCCTGTGGCCGGTTTTGCGTTTCTCTCTGCTCAACTGCAAACCCTGAAGTCCGGCTCTCTGGAGGACAGAGTATTTGTGGCCTGGGACTTCTGAGTCCTAGCCTTCTAGGTCCCTCAGGTGGCCTAGCACTGGGTGGAACTGTGCAGCCAGCAACCAGGGAGGTGCACACCGCGGATACAGCAATTTTGA